TTATTGATAGATTAATCACACAAAACAATAACTACATTAAAACTAGATTAGTTATTTTTAAAAATGCATAAAAACTATTTAAGAAAACTAAAAAAGAAAATTATATAATTTATAATAAAAACTGTCCTAAAAATATTGAAATTTAATTTTTACTCATAATGTGTTCTGGATTAAATCTATGATAATCACTCTGTAGATTACAATTTATTACATTTTTAATATCAATCGGTAGCCACCCGTCCATTAGAGAAGCGGACGACTCGTGTGTCCTGATCCGTCCAAAAGGTATCTTTGGTGCCGACAATTGTGGCCCGGATTACGATATCGCTGGTGAATGAGTCGGGAGGGCTCCAGACACTAGTGATCCGGGTCTTTGGCGAACCCGATCTATGGGTTAACGTATTCTGTGTAATAAGATTTGATTTTATTATTATGAGTTGGGAATTATTTTGTGATAATTATTTTTATTGATTACTACTTATTATTTTATAAAATGTAAATTGTACAGGCTGTTCATTGAAATAATTTATTTTAATGCATTATAAATTTATTAATTTAACTGTGTCACATTATACAAATAATATACAAATATACTGTAACAATACAGTCATTTCAACTAGTTAATTTTGAAGTACTGATCAATTCAATAGTTTTAAATTAATAGTTAATTACTAATTTAATTAATAAAATACAACGTTATTACAGTTTTGTATAGATGTCCATATAATAGATTAATAATTTAATTTATTCAGCTAAAATATTCTTATTTCGTTAAAACTGTAATAAAAAATATACTTTTTATTTGAATAACAAATACATTTTCTAAAAAGTGTGTCTGGATCATTGGCTTGGATGCACACTGATTTCACACTATAAATTGTTTTGTAATTTAAATGTAAATTATATTAATATTATCTTGTTTATACCGACAGTTCTCTCATTTAATATTACTTTAAACTTTAATTAATACTATATTTATAGGTATATATTTATATTTATAAGTATTAGTATTAAACTTTATAATCAACTATTATAATTAGGTGACACAGAAACTTTCAAATATTTTTTATGTGTAACAAAAACATATTAAACACATAGTTTTAAACAAAAACATTTTATTTCACTAAAAATTACACAAACTATTATCAATAAAAAGCATATAATTATAGAAAAATGAGATTCAAGTGATTCAAGTGATTGCCATCATTTCCAGCGTATCGGTCGGTAAACTAATCAACGAAACCATTGCCACAACTAATGCCAAAAGTCCCGCACAATAGACCCCTAATATAAACCGTCGGAAACCAGTGCCCGGAGTGTCGGCCCCCATGTTGTGGTCGTCATGTGATCCGGACATGTCTTGCATCGCAATGTCGTGCGTTTCTATCGGATTAAAAGCTTGAGATTAAAAAAGTTTTACAATAATTAGTGGATTAAATGTTTAGGCAATGAAGATTTATAGTAATATAAGCTAAATACAAGTATAGTTTTAAAGTTTTATATAAATTACTGACAAATTAGATCATTGTTGGATAACTAACAAAGCATTTTATTTTATTAATTTGATTTTAAGTTTTTAATATTAACTAGCACTTAATTAAAATATTTTATAAACTTAACATACAATTAATATAAATTTTAGGACCGTAATAAAAGTAAATACTTTTCATTTGAGTAACCCCTACAATTTCTGTAAGATATACCTGGGACATATAAATTTATAAACTGTACCAAAAAATATACTTTTCATTTGAGTCACCCATACCATTTCTAAGATGTAAACCTGGGGGTAAAGTCCAAGCAATTTTATTTTACACAATTAACTATTAAGTAATTTTAACTTATATTAATAGTGTATTATAATTTATAAATAATACTTGGAGAGCGCCAAGGATCTACTTTATATATTCAAAAAAATTATGTTTTTTAAAATTAATATTTTCATCATATAATTAATGACAAATAGATAACTGTGGAGTAAGTAACTTTGAATGTTAGGTGTTATAATTAATTTTAAGTTTTTAATATTAACTAGCATTTCATTTAAAAATGTTTATTAACGCAAACTTAGCCTTAATTTAAATTAACAAACTGTAATAAAAATTATAATTTTCATTTGTATTACCAATACAATTTTTAAAAACTTAACTTGAATCGTTCACTTGAAAGATCTTAATTTTACGCAATAAACTTTTATGTACTGGTAATTTTAAGTTAAATTAGCTAAACAATATTATATTATTAAATTGTATTATAAATAAATTTTATTTACTGTTAACATTTACTCCCCATTGTGGGAACTAGACTATTTAAGATTGAATAAATAAAATTTGATAAATATATATATCTAACAACACGTTTTCCTAAACTACTTTTTGTCAAAATCATTTCAAATTAATTAATTACAATTCAAAACTTATTAAAAATTTAACATACAATTTCTATATGAGTAAAAATCAAGTTTTAATTGAGTTGTTATCAAACCACTCAATCAATTAATTAGCCATTAATTACATATAAAAGACTGTAATATAAAATAGTTAAACGCTTATAAAAATAAGACTTTAATGTATCAAATAGAGGCCATTATTATAGACTTCAAAACACTTTTGATTGTATTTAATAACGAGCCTACTATTCAACACTTACTTTTAAGGCAATGAATATAAAAAACTACCTGTCCTTATAGTGGATACAATAAAAAATATAATATAATGCTAAACATTATAGTTATTATTATTGGGTCATTGAAACTAATGTATTCATTATTATCTCGTCCTTTAAGTGTTAAAACCGGCAAAAAGTTTCATTGATTTCTGAGAAAATACTTCATAAAAAAGTTTTTACTAAATATAGTTATTATTTACACAAATACGGCAGTATTACAAATATAAAGTATAATGTAGTAAAATAATAGCTAGTATTATAAAAAAAATATGAACAACTTTTGCAATATACAGTATAATTCGTATAAGATATTAACTCTTACTTATTTAATAGCTGAATAACAATAATTTTATATTGTCAACTAAGTATGAGTTGGTTTTAATAAATTTTATATTATAATTTATAAATTAAAAATTTAACTATCAAGGGATAACCTAGACCAACTTTTATATTTTTAATAAATATTTTTATATCTTACTTGTAATAAGAAATTGGTTACAGTTTTATAAAAACAGCCAAAATACTGATACAGTATAAACATAAAAATAAAATAACCTCGCAACAAATCATCAGGGTTTGTATTATTAATACTTTTCTAATATTACTTATTAATAATAATACTGTAATAATAATAATGACTGAAAATATTATAAATACTTCTGTTTTGGGCGCAAAACGTCTGGAACTGGAGTATGAGGTGTACGACCACATTGAACACGACAAACGTGATGACTGTCCACAAAAATTGTCTTGGTAAGTCGGCCAGTGGCAGCTTAGTGGATAGGAAAATGGCTACAATGGCGGCAATATGAGCCAGGTTGCCCAGAAACCAATGGCCCCAATTGAATAGCCATCGGTTAGGGGCGTCGGGATGTGGTCTCAAGAGAGCGCCGATAGGGTTGAGTAGCGCCAGCGTGAAGGCCAGGGTTCCGAAAATCTGGTGCCAACCCTATGAATGAAAATATGAAAACTTTTTTTTATAGTGAAACTCAATGAAAAACTTTTGTTTTATGTTTCAATGACTTGTCTGCGAAATACAATGTATTTCCCATAAAATGAAAGTTTTTTTAAATAATTTATTGGATTATAATTTTTATTGCGATAAGGTGGTTTAATTTTATGCATATATTTTTGAAACTGATTTATAGTTTAGTTTTAAATTTATTTATTTTGTTTGATTTGGTAATTATTTATTGATTTATGCGGGATATCCTTATATTGGTTGAAGTGTCAGCCTTATTATGAAAATATTGACTTTTCGTAGAAAGTTATCATGATTTGTGTTTATATTAATTAAAATTAATAAATGTAAAATTATTTTATAATCTGATCTGGATTCCAGAAAATAAATTATATGTTTTGATTAAAATTTATAGAAATATTAAAAGTATTGTGTTGATAACTATCTAAATTGTAACTTGTAACAAATTGTAACAAATATAAAAGCATAATATACTGTATAACATTGTATCAGAAATTAAATTTTCTATTAAAATATTTGAGCAATGCTAAATAAGTTTTAATTGGTAAATGCAAATTTTCACGAGTTTCTAATTCAATTTATATTTTTATTTATACAAAAGTATTTGGTTGATGTATGAACCATATTATGAATATATTCACTATTCATAGAAAATTAATAAATTAATAATTTATAATAGACTTGATTGTAGTTTGCATCCAGATATCAATACTTAAAACTAATCAATTTCAGTTAACTTTTAATTTATAATTTATTTATCTAGTTATTTATGTGGTATATCCTTATAATGGTTTTTAAGTATCAAACATATTATGAAAATATTTTTTGTGTGCAGAGTATCATGATATTTGTTAAATTTAACAAAGATTTAATAATAATTTGCAAAAATAAATAGTAATTTGAATCCACAAATCTGATCAAAATAATTGCTTTAATTAAAATTAATATATAAGACAAAAAATTGGGACATTTTTATTGTTTTTAAAACTAAAATTCCTGATTTAATGTCAAATAAATCAAAAATGATTTACATTTTGTTTATGAATTATAATCTGTATTTAAATTTAAAATATTTGAGACATATTTAAATTGGCATATCATATGATTTGACAAAAAACTATTTTAATTTAATGTTTGTAACACTAGTTTTAGAAATATTTTCAAATTATATTTTCTAAAACTTTTGTTTCATTTATATAACTAAATAGGGTTCAAAAAACATAACCAAAAACTTTTAGACAATCAACACTTGTTTGAAAGTATTGTTTGAAAGTATTATTTAAAAACAATATTTTTCTAACATTTCTGTACTAAAAGCAAACACAAAAAAGTCAATAAAAATATTTCAGATTTCAAAACCTGATTGTCTGACTAAAAACCTATGGGTTTGGCTATAGTTATGCAAAAACTTTTCAAAACAATTTTCATGAATGACTGTTGAGTTATGCATACAATTCGTGTTCAATATATTGAAAATAATTTAATTTTTTTTATTTGTTTTAATGGCTTATAATGTGTTACGAAATGTGGAGATAATTCACATTAAAAAGGCGAATATAATGTGAAAAATATATTCATAACTACTGTTTAGATATACAGTAATATTAATTAAAATAAAAATGTCAAAACTTTTCCCTCCATTTAATATCAGTCTCTCTCTCTCTCTCTCTCTCTCGACTCAATCCTTGAGTTTAATCATTAAAACTAATAAAACAAATAAAACACTTATTATATTAAAATAAAAAAGGTTTTAAAACATAGGAGTAGTAACACATAAATAATGAGTGGGAATGGGAGGAAATACATGTATATATCGCTGCCATTAAAAAATAAACTAGTAAATATTTGAAATACTGTTGAATACATACTATCCTATACTCGCCGATGTAGTAGAAAATGCAGATCTGAGCGATTATCATGAGAGTGACACTGGTGACCATTAGACCACGGTGAAACTATTAAATAATTTAAATATTATATACAATACAATTAATGTCAAAAAGTTTTGTAAATTTTATTAGTTTTTTTGTCAATACTTACGGCAAACCATATTTTAACACCGCATAAAGTGCTAGGTACCCAGGTCTGTTTGTAATACCGGGCAAACACTATGGCCAGGCTGACTGTGCCCACCCACGCGATCACCATAAATGAACCTGTTAATAAATAGATAATTAATATATATATTCATAACAATTATATTTTTACAGAGAAACATATTATAAATATTATTATTTATAAAACATAATATAATTTACTTGAATAAAAACTGTAAATGTATTTTTATATTTTAATGTTACCTAGTAACTAAAATGTTTATTTTAATGTTAGATGTTGAACAATTTTGGAATGTAAGTTAATTTTAAAAATTTAATTATATTTTCATGTAAATTGTAATGTAACATTTCTAATGTTATTTTTGCATTAGATTTAATATTATCAAGTTATTTAATGAAACATATTATTCGCTAAACCAAGTATGTTAGATTAACTCAATTTGAAATTAAACATAATTACTGATTGTGAGTTTTAGTTTTGCGGTTTAAACTTATTTATTTTTAGTAAGTTATTAAAATAAATTATAAGTCTCATATTTGTCTGAATATTTCAAATGTCATTCATTATGAATGTTAAGTAATAAACAAAAAACAATTGACTATTTATTTTCAGGGTTGGGATGAATGTAATGTTACTTTTAAATATAAGCCTTAAAACTTCAATATAATAATTACAACTTCAAGTATTAACCGCCTATTTGTGTGGACACATACTATTAGGTAAATGAATATTTCAATTGTCAATAACCTTCAGGTACATAATTACACAAAATAATTAACTCAGATATACACTACTTATAGAGTATGCATGTATATAATAAAATAATAACATTATTATTTATAAAAATTATTTCTCATTTACATTCATATAAATTAATTCTAACTAATAAGTTGTTATTACTAATATTATCAGGATTATTTGAAAAATGAAAGTTATCCTGTGGCCAAACTATACATTATTAAGTAACGATAATCTAGCAAATTTTCCTAAATTATTAATTACAGTCAATACAAAAACACAAAAAAATATGAACTCATAATTACCATGAATCCTAACCAGGTACAGTGGGTCGGACACACTAATCGCGCCCACCTGCGCCATATTAACCGGCGTATGACTGGCCAGTTTCCACTCGTGGTACTGTTTGGTGCCCTTATCATCAGCCAGGTCTCCCATCGCCAGTAATATATGATAATTGCGCTTAAGGTCAAAGTGTCGTCCCTCTAAACTCCTGTTCCTATGGGACCTCCACCGGCACACCACCACACCGTTGGAGTAGTAGTTTTGTATGGAGTGTAAGGAGTTTTTGAACTCGTCATTGATCTCATTGGACTGACCAAGGTTATAACTGGAGCCCACTTTCACTTTGCCATCGGAGGTGACGTAACAGTCGGTGACCAAGTCGTCCCCCATTAGCGAGTCCTCCGAGTAGGCCATCGAGAAGTATTTGGACGTATGGGCGCCCGACTTAGGTATGGCCGACAGCTCGTACTCCAGTAGACCCTCGTCCTTGTTGTAGTAGCCACCTAGGTCATATAAATTGTGAGGTCAAATTCAATTTCATGTCATAGAAAAACTTTTATCTTTTTATTTTAACATGGTAATAGATTAAAAAATCTTATCTATAAACCAAATAATTAAATAAATATTTTTAAAATTAATTTATTTTTCATCTAGGATCATTTAGGATCTTAAAAATTAACCATGATAAATTTGAGCTATTCATGACAAAACATAAGTGATTTAATTAATAGTAAAATCATTGGTTATAAATGAACAAACTTATGAAAATGCAGTATTATTTATATTAAAAAGTACTGTCTCAAATTAAGTTAGTCTAGGAAAT